CAAAGAAGAGGGAGTCAAGCTATTCTCCAAGGCACCTGAGGGTAGAATAAGAAGCAATGTGTGGAAACTAATCAAGGGGAGAAGCAACTTAGAACTGAGGAGAAATTTAATGACAGAACAATTAATCAGTGGAACAGTTTGCCTCCAGAAGTTATGAATGCCTCAACACTGGAGGTCTTTAAGAAGATGCTGGATAGCCATTTGTCTGGTACGATATAGGGTTTCCTGCCTAGGCAGGGGGTTGGACTAGAAGACCTCCAAGGTCCCTTCCAACTCTGCTATTGTATTGTATTGTATTGTAATCTTCTTTCGTTATTAAGTCTCTAATCTCTGCACCTGTTATCTAGCCAATTGTACCATAAGTCCCATGTTGAGTAAGACTGTTTCCCCTTTATCTTTAAGTCCCATCGTTAACCTGTCCAGCTTGGCACATTCTAACATTTTCTTTATTACCATTCCGTCTGTAGGGATACTTCCTACATTTTGTGCATACGTCATCCTAACCCTCGGGTGACTTCTTGAAACCAGTTGCAGAATGTGGGACCTTAAGGTTGCCCCTTAGGAATGAGAAGTTGTGAGGGACAACCCATAATAAGCATGAAGCACGAGTTTTGGCAGGCTTACACGATCTCTTTCCAGAGCATTTGCTCCTCCATTTATTTTGTGAATTTATGTCTTCTCCGGGAGCTTCATTCAGCCAGGCCCTCCCTCGGTTTCCTTACAACATCCCTGTGAGGTAAGCTGGGCCAAGGCTTCTCACCCGTTGAATCGCTGTAACTGAGGGTGGACTTTGCTGTGGAGGTTGGAAAACGTCAGCTACAAATGAAGATTTTTCCAGGGCCCCGGGGTAGAATTCCATCACTGAGGCCAGTTAATTAAATTATATTGACGGTGCCCCAGGATTAATGAGATAGCTTGGATTTTCTGTAGGTACCTTTAATTGTTGTGTTATCGATTGCACTCATCTCTTCTTAAGGACTCATTTATCTTAATCTTGAAGATGAATTCCACTCCTTCGCTTGGAGAAAAGATCTGGATGGAGATTCTGGCCCAGCCAATGATGGTCAAGAATATCTACCAGGTCAGCCCAGATTTTTTCTTTTCTTTTAGGGAAATATTTCAATTTTATAGAGCTGGCGGGGAGGGGGGGGGAGAAAAATCCCTGAAGAAAATCCACCTTCTTTAATCAGGTTGTGCCACTTGGCCATGCTGGAAATTGTCTTCCCAAAACAGCTGGGCCTGTGCGACCAAAAGCCAAAGCTGAAGACCAACTAGATCAGTGTTGGCGAGCCTTTTCGGCACCCGGTGCCAAAATGGGAGCATGCTTCAAGTGGGTGCCGTAAACTGGAAGACCACTGTGTGTATGTGGGCACCGGGAAGATGGTTTTCCGGTTTCCGCCACACACATGTGCACTGGGCACCTGGTCTTCTGGTTTATGGCGTACATGCAAATGCAAAGACCATCTGGTCAGTGCGCAGGTGTGCGCCATCTTCCTGGCATATGCATGCACACCGGGCAGCTGCTCTTCTGGTTCCCAGCACTCCTGCGCATGTGAAGACCAGCTGGCCAGTGTATCGGGACCCGGAAGAGCAACAGGAGATGGCTCACATGCCTGGCGAGAGTGCGTTGCATGCCACTTCTGGCACAAGTGACATAGGTTTGTCGTCACGGAACTAGTTGCTTGAAAATTAGCAGTTCTGATGTTATTTCTGGTTCCAGTTCAGCATTTTTTCAGTAGTTCAAAAGTTTCCTGTGACTTCAGCTTTGCTAATAATTTTTTCCACTCTCAGTTTGGAAAGTCCAAGTGGAAACAAATCCCTTGCCCAATGTTAGAAAGTTATTCTTTCCAGCTAATCATGAGTTACACATTGGTTCCTTTTAAAATGCATAATTGCATGCAATTCCCTGTTCGTCAGGGCGACACACAATCCACCGGAGATCCCAAAGGTGCTTTTTCAAGAGGCAACTGGACTTCAGCTCTGGAGCTGAAGAGGCTTCTTGGATGAGAAGCGAAACGTCTTCAAAGGAAAACCAGAAAATACAGTTGCCTCTTGAAAAAGCACCTTTGGGACAACCATGACCTGGATGATGGAGAATGTCCACCATCAGCACAGGAGCTGAATGGACAATGGGGCCCAGATTTCCTGCCCTGAACAAACATCTGCTTTTCAATTTCACCAAGTCCACAATTCCAAGATTAGGAGCACGAGATGAGAGATCCAAATTTCGGTTCTGATCTGGCTGTGCTGAAAGGCTATGGGGGAGGGGAAGATGAGTGAGGACCCCATGGGAGTATAGACTGGCCCTTCAAAGCCACAGCAGTCATATTTTGCCTCTCCTGAAGACTCAACGTGGTATACAAAGCGATGAATTGGCCCCAAAGTGTCTCCAGCTCCAAGTTCTGGATTCTGTTCAGGATTTATTTAACTGCACCTTCCAGACTGGGTGAAACCAGGCTTAATAGCAGTGACTGTGAGAGGGATCTTGGAGTCTTGGTGGACAACCAGCTAAATATGAGCCAGCAGTGTGCAGCGGCAGCCAAAAAAGCCAATGAAATCCTAAATTGCATTAACTGAGGGATACAATCAAGATCAAGGGAGCAACTAGTACCACTCTATAAAGCCTTAGTAAGGCCACACCTAGAGTACTGCATCCGGTTTTGGTCACCACTGTATAAAAGAGATGTGGAGACTCTAGAAAGGGTGCAGAGACGAGCAACCAGGATGATTAGGGGACTGGAGGCTAAAACATACGATGAACAGTTACAGGAACTGGGCATGGCTAGTTTAGTGAAGAGAAGGACCAGGGGAGGCAGGGTAGCAGCCGTCCCATATTTTAGAGGGGACCGCAAGAGAGAAGGGGGGGCAGGTCATTTTGG